GATGAGTCTCCTAACTCACATGGTGGCAAGGGCTGGCAAACCCAAATCAGCGGCTGCTGCCTCAAGTCCAGGGACAGGATGATGATGAATCAAATGCAGGACCAGAGCAAGAGAGCAAACATTCCCAGAACTTTCACATATCTACTCTCAAGGAACGTGAGGGTGATGACTTGAGTCACACCCTTCAGCCAGGTGGAACTCAAGATACATCCCACCCTAAATAGGCATTAAAAACAAACAAACAAAAAAAAAACCAAAAACCAAACTCACTGCCATTGAGTCAATTCTGAGTCATAGAGAACCCCAATGGGTTACCAAACTCACTGCCATTGAGTCAATTCTGAGTCATAGAGAACCCCAATGGGTTACCAAACTCACTGCCATTGAGTCAATTCTGAGTCATAGAGAACCCCAATGGGTTACCAAACTCACTGCCATTGAGTCAATTCTGAGTCATAGAGAACCCCAATGGGTTTCCAAGACAGTAAATCTTTATGGAAGTAGATTGTCCCATCTTCCTTCTGCAGAGTGGCTTCTGGTTAGCAGTCAAGTGCCTTAGGCACTGCACCACCAGAGTACCTTTAAATAGGCATAGAGACAAGGATTTACAATACATACAAAATGGAGGACTATGGCTAGAAGGGCCAGATTAAGCAATTCACTGCACTGCAATATCTCTCACATACCTTTTGCCTATTCAACTTTTTACAGGTATACAACTTATTGAAAACAATTATATTAATCAGCTGTGCAAACTTACCCTTAATAAATGCAATTTTCATCACTGTAAACCAAAACTCAGTGCTCCTCCCTTTCCCCTTCCATCCCACACCTGGTAACCATTAATGAATTTCAGTCTCTATATATTTGCCTTTTCTTGTCTTTTTATATTCCTGTTGTTGTTGTTAAGTGCTGTCAAGTCAGCAAGTCAGTTCTGACTTATAGAGATCCTACGTATTAGCTTCTTGAATAAATTGCTCAGTATACCAGCATTCAACTATGTGGATCATAACAAATTATGGATAACATTGCAAAGAATGGAAATTCCAGGACACTTAATTGTACTCATAAAACCAAACCAAAAACTCACTGCCATTGAGTTGATTCTGACTCATAGCAACCCCTATTGTGTTTCCAAGACTATAAATCTTTGCAGAAATAGATTGCCTCATCTTCCTCCTACACAGCAGCTGGTGGGTTTGAACTGCCAACCTTCAGCCTTACCCCCTGCACCAAATGTGCTCATGTTGTTGTTGTTATGTGCCGTTGAATCAGACCCAACTCATAGCGACCCCTCCTTGGATTTCTGAGGCGGTATCACTGCGGAAGTAGATTGCCCAACCTTCCTTCTGAGGAGTGGCTGGTGGGTTTGAACCTCCAGCCTTCTGGTTAGTAGTCAAGTGCCTTAGGCATGACGCTACCAGAGCTCCTGTTGTGTTCTTAAGGAACCTAAAAATAGACCAAAAGGCAGTCATTCAGATAGACAAGAGGATACTGTGTGGTTTTAAACCAGGAAAGGTGTGTATAAAGGTTGTAGCCTTTCACCATACTTATTCAATCTGTATGCTGAGCAAATAATCTGGGAAACTGGACTATATGAAGAAGAACACAGTATCAGGATTGAAGGAAGACTCATTAAGAACCTGTGGTATGTAGATAGCACAATCTTGTTTGCTGAAAGTGAAGAAGACCTAAGGTTCTTACTGATAAAGATCAAAGATAATAACCTTCAGTATGGATTACACCTCAACATAAAGAAAACAAAAATCTTCACAACTGGATCAATAAGCAACACCATGATAAATGGAGAGAAATTGAAGTTGTCAGGGATTTCATTTTACTTGGGTCCACAATCAATGCCCATGGAAGCAGCAGTCAGGAAATCAAAGGACATATTGCATTGGGCAAATCTGCTGCAAAAGATGTTTAAAGTGTTAAAAAGCAAAGACATCACTTTGAGGACTAATGTGTGCCTGACTCAAGCCATGATATTTTCAATAGCCTCATATGCATATAAAACTGGACAATGAATTAGGAACACCAGAGAATTGATGTATTTTAATTATGGCAAAGAATATTGAATATACTGCCAGAAGAATGAACAAATCTGTCTTGGAAGAAGTACAGCCAGATGCTCTTAAGAAGTAAGGATGGTGCAACTTTGCCTTTTGTATTTTGGTTATCTTATCAGAAGGGAGTGGTCCCTGGAGATGGCCATCATGGTTGGTAAAGTAGAGAGTCAATGAAAAAGAGGAAGATCCTCAATGAGATGAATTCACACAGTGGCTGTAACAATGGGCTCAAGCATTGTGAGGATGGCACAGGACCAAGCAGTGTTTTGTACACAGGGTTGCTATAACTTGGAACTGACTCAATGGCACCAAACAACAAAAAACAGTGTAAATAAGTTGTGTGGCCCTCTGGGAGGGTGAGACCATTTAAGGTGTATGGAACCCTAATGAGGATATTGATCAGTTTTGTCATCCTGCTAGGCTTAAAATTCAGAAGGAAGATTGGGCAATCTACTTCCGTAGATACTGCCTCGGAAACCCAAGGAGGGGTTGTTATGAGTTGGAAATGACTTGATGGCAGTGAATTTGGTTTTTGGTTTGGAGGCTTAAAATGAGCCATCCCAGAACAGAAAGGGGGACCTCATGACCACCGAGAAAGAAGAGCCAAATGAAGAATGCATCCTTTTGGACCCAGTATCTCTGTGCTGAGAACCTCCTAGAGTGAGAAGACAGAGAGAGAGAGAGAGAGAGAGAGAGAGAGAGAGAGAGATTTGTAATACCAGAGATGGCAAAAGACAGTGAGAAGTAGCAGCAGAAAATTGGTGGCAGCAGAACCAGGAGACAGCTTGCTTGGCTTTCTGGTCCACTGAACAAGAGAGCTAAGTGCCTTCAGGAGGAGGTTTGTTGGTGGAGTAATGTACGTTCAGGCACTTGTTGGAGGAGCTAAAGAGCTTTTTAACACTTGCCCAAGCAGAACAGAGGCAGAGGGGCTGCAGGGTCGATAGGCAGAGGGCCAGAGAGAGGCATGCCTGTGGACAGGGGCACCAGTAAGCATGACACTCACTGGCTTGCATCGAGCAAGGTATGCATGAGCTTAATTGTGTTTACTTACTAATCTGTGGTGAGCAACTTCATGGGTATCACCACATCTTTGATGTGGTGGGGGACAGGTGAAATTGTGTAGTGCATGTTGGTGGGAAGGCACAACTGGACCCAGGCATACATGACTTATTGGGTAATCAGGTTCTGCCTATGGGCACACTTGAGAAGAAGCTGTCTTGATGGAAGAACTGTATCCTGAGTCTTTCGTCATCCTGAATTGTAACCTGTTACTTCCCTAATAAACCCCATAGTCATGAATGTTGTCTGTGAGTTCTGTGTGGCCAGCAGAGTAGAGAGGGCCGTGGGAGCAAGAGCTTGGTGTAAGAATTGGCAAAAAGGTTGGAGAGAGGCTGATGTCTGATTTCTGCCTCACAGGAATCAGCTTTGGATTGATGCTCATGGTCATTCTCTCTCCCCTTTGTGAAGTTAGAGAAGGTTGGACGCCTCCACACCATTTTTACACTGAAGGAGCAGTTCAAAAGTGAAACTCTATAGAACACATGGCTCCCTATGCTTTGACTGAAAGAATACTTCCTCTTCTTGGCTCCAGCCCTGCCCAGACTGTGATCCCTGCCATAGGAGGTTTGCTTTGCTTTCTGGTCTTTCTCTGCCACATGTTTATGCTCAAGATGGAACAAACAGATTGCTGGAATTCCTCTATTTTTGTTTAAAGGCTATTGAAAAACACCTTCTGAATTGGCCTACTTGAAACTGAATGTCTTCATTTGTGACAAGCAAGACTATACAGTATTTCTGCTTCTTTAACTTAATCATGTGGTAGAGGCATATTCATTCCTAAGCCGGCAATTTTCTTAACAGCTGCAGAGTATGTCATTGTAGGGGTGTACCCTCTGTTGGTAGATATTTAGGTAGTTCCTGATTGTTTGCTTAATCAATAAGCAAGAAAATGGCCTATGTGCTACATGGGGGCGAAAACCAAAATCAAACTCATTGCTGTCGAGTCAGATCTGACTTACAGTAACCCCTCTTTGGGTTTCCGATGCAGCATCACTAGAAGTAGATTGCCCAAACTTCCTTCCGAGGAATGGCTGGTGGTTTGAACCAAGTATTAGTCACTGATGTACCACAGTTTCCAGCTCAGTGCCCCCAAGTGCCCAGTAAAGTGTTTGTAGAATGAATGACTGAAGATTGACCAATGAACTACATTGTATCTGTGTGACACAAAGACAGAGTTCAGTTCTTAGTGGAAGTCCCTTAGGCAAAGGGCAGACAGGCAGTGGTGCCCAATGGTTTTGGCCTGAACTAGACTGAAATTACAACCTAGTTCTCTCCTGTGATAGTGTGTGACTTTAGGCAGCTACTTAATCTCTCTTTGCTTTAGAGTTCTTATGTGTAAAATGGGTACAATAATGGCCCTGACCCATCAGGTTGTGAAGACTAAACCAATGAACAAGTGTAAATATATTTGGCCTAAACATCAGTACTCATTAAGTAGTAGTAGAATGGGATCATCTTAACTGACCATGATTATGAAAATGCAGCAAGGACAAAGACACCCTTGAGGTGACAACAGGAAAACCAGGCCATTGTGGCCCGTGATTTGGTACTGGTGGTGATTGTTTTGATTTATTTTCATGGGATCGGGTTTGCTTCTGGAGAATCAGCTGTTCCGTTAAGGAGACTATCTATACCCAGAGTCTATCACCATGGAGACAGTCAACAGCAGGGAATCTAGGATCACAGCTCCTTTTCCTGGAGGCCCAAAGTGGACTCTCAGGGTCCTTTTGTCCCCAAAGTTAGCAGGCTGTCTACTCACGTGGGAGGACCACTGGAGAAGAAAAGGGTACCCCAAACTCGGCCACTCCATCATATCCCCTTGAAACTAAAAGTGTACCAAGTTAAAGGAACGTGGGGCGAGGCTTTGCCATGTTTGTGACAGCAGGGAGCCCACAGTCGTACTCTACTCCTGGCTGGCACATCGAACCCAAGTATTCCACCCGGGTGCTCACTGGGAACTGGGTAGAAGAGAGAAGGAAGGTAAGGGGAGAGGGGAGGGAAGGAGAGGGCACAGAAGGGGGATTGGCAGGGAGAGGCAGAGGGAGAGGTTCATTGCTGGTTCCAAATTAAGGGCCACAGATGGCTGTGCATGCATCTTATGAATGTGACACCAGGGTCTCTGGGCTCAACTTAGGGCAAACCATCACCCCTGTCCCCATTCTATCTTGAAAATACCTAGTCAAAGCATCGAGGGAGCTGTGCCTCTCAAGAGTGTCCTCAGTAGAGTGTCTCTAGGCTTCTAGACGTCTCTTGTCCTCAATTCCTCTGCACCTTGATTTGAAGAATGGCTGCTCTTCTGGCCTAGTCCTTGCAGAACATTGCACCTGCTTGGCCCTTCCCTGCCTTGATGTCCAGAGTGGGCTGCCCTGGCTCTCTGGCATGTGGTCTACAACCCTGCCTTCCCATATAATTCTATTTTTATTTTCCAAATGGAACAAACTGACTCCTGATGTTTCTCTGTGCTTTAAAGGCCATTGGAAAATACTTTCTCTGACCTGGCCTACTTCAGGTTGAACATCTTCACCTGTGGCTGGCAACACTGAGCCACGTGGGTAGAGACACCTGGGCAGCCTCCGATGGCCCTGGGAAACAAGCAAGGAAAAGAGTGTGTGAGAACATAGACATGGTGAAGGCTCTCCAAGAACCAGAAAAAGCTGCTTTCAAAGGAAAATTTGCATGGGTTTATCTTCTGGCAGGATATGGCCTATGGCTACTGTTCTCCCTGGTGGCACTTGTTTGGGAACAGGCTATGTAAGGGAAGTTCCAAAGGCAAGAATGGCAAAGGGAGAAGATGGCTAAGCAATCTCTTAAGGCTCCTGTGGGTAAGCAAGTCACCAGAGACATTATGGGCTGGCCTCCCACCTACAGTGATGGGTTAAAAAGTGCAAAGAACAAAGCAGAAGAGGAAGGGAAGAGGCAAGCAAGGAGAGAGGAGTGGGTAGAGAAAAGATGAGACAGGAAACAGGCGCCAACAGAGAGAAGGGGTCAAGTGGCACCCATCATGACTTTTCCAAGAGGCAGAATTCAGCCTTCATTGTCCAGGATGCCTAGGGTCTGTATTTATTCTTTCTCTGCCAAACTTCCAAGAGTCTGAGAGAGGAAGGGCCCAGTCAATGTCTGAGAAGGGGTGTCAGAGAAGTTCTCCAGTATATATTTGATCTTTTCTAGTTCACCAGAGACACTGAGAAAACACCCCAGTGCATTTATAGAAAAGAGTACATCCCCTTTCCAGACCACAGACCAGACCTGATCTCCAGATGGTATGGGAAGAGAAGAGTGGAGGTAAGAGGGAGAAGCAGCCCTTGGTTTTGATGGCCCCACATAGCCAGGGGACATTGACCCACTTCCCAGTTCCCTCTTAGGAAAACCGGTCTTGCCTCAGTCATTTGTTCCCCAGCATAGAGGCTGCCAGTAGCATAACCCTTCATTATCCATGTAAATAGATGATCTGTGTTGTTACTGCCGTTGAGTTGCCCCCAACTCATGGCCATCCCATGCACAGTGGAATGAAATGCTGCCTGGTTCTGTGCCATCTCCGTGATGGGTTATATATCAGACTGCTGTGATTCATAGAGTTTTTATTGGCTGATTTTTTAAAAATTTTTATTGTGATTTGGGTGAAAGTTTATAGAGCAAATTCATTTTCCATACAGCAGCTCACAAACACTTTGTCTCATGACATTGACTGCCATTTCCCACAATGCAACAGCTCCCCTTCCTCCTCCTCCCCATAGTTACCTCTTCCCTGTGTCCTTCCCTCCATGCACTCCTGCTCCCCCGAGCTGTCTTCCTGTGCATACACAGCCCTCCTATCTCCCATGACTGATCTCTCCAAGCAGTGTATCTACCTAAGTAAATGTTCAGCTCATATACCTGTCTTTTGTTTGGCTGGAAGCCACAGGAGTGAGTTCAATTTCAGACCTGAAGGGCAGGTAGGGGCCATAGTCTCAGGGATTCCACCAGGCTCTATCAGACCAGCAAACCTGGTCATCCCCCCCCATCCCCATTTTTTTATGATTTTGCATTTTGTATTTTGTTCCACATTGTTCTCCCACTCTCTCCAGGATCTTCTACATAGATCCTTATTGGCTGATTTTTGGAAGTAGATTGCTAGGCAGGCCTTTGTTCCTAGTCTGTCTTAGTTTGGAAGCTCTGCTGAAACCTGTTCAGCATCATAGCAATAGGCAAGCTTCCACTGTCAAGTAGGTGGTGGCTGAGCATGGAGGTGTGTTGGCTGGGAGTAGAACCCAGGTCTACCCCATAGAAGGTGAGAGTTCTACTACTGAACCACCATTGTGGCACCCAAACTCAAGGGAAGGGGCTAGAAAGTCCCTGTTGTCTTCTCTCCTCTCCCTGCAAGCACTGGGCTGAGCCCCCATGCCTCCTCAGCACTGCCCTTTCCTGATGGGAAACCCTCCAACTCTCTTTCCCTGGCACTGGAAAGATACCAAGGGGCACCTGGTGATGTACGTCTTGGGAACTCCTGCTTAACTGTCTGTGCCCATCCCCCCTGTCTCCCTTGGGCATTGTGATCTGACTTATTTATGGAACCACCACTTGAAATATTGGGTCCAGCCAGCATTTCCCAACCATAGCAGACACAGCCCTCCCTGTCTGCTCCAGACAAGAGGACCGGCATGGAAATCAACATTAGCCTCCCTTGTAAATCAGCCTGGTTCCCCAGGACCCCCTTCCAAGGCCAAAGGATTTTCTTCGGAAAATCACTGATTCAGGCAATCATTCCAGAGCAAGGCAGAAATGGCTTTCTTCTCCCTATAAATAACCCCCACCTAAAAAAAAAAATCCCTCCCCCAGTTTCCAGCTGAGGGAGCCGTAAATCCTTTGCAGGAGAAGACAATTTATGGGGCGCGCTCTGATTCTTCCCATAGTAACCGACTGAAATATAAGGTATAAATGTCAGGCTTGGCATTCAATGTCTTTCTCTCCCTTTGGAAATCTGCACTTGGATGGAGTAAGACTTGAGACAAATCAAAGAGCATCATTTCAGATCACAAGGGCATGCGGCATGGTGGCATTGATGCCCCATTCAACTGAGTGTCCTGCCTTTAATTTCAATGTGTCACCATAGTTCATTCTAGGGATGAATTGACTTGGCATCAGGGGAGGGGTCTTACAGAGAACTGACTGCAGCAATGGTGGGACATATGTTTGACGGTGGCCTGTTAAGGCGAGATAATCAAGTGTGTCACTCCATCGGGGCTGCAAAAACTCAAGTGGCCACACCAGTTTGGCCCAGAGGCAGCCCTCCCCATCAGCGGCACAGACCCCACAGCCTGAAGCTTCTGCTCCCTTCTAGTGCTGGTGGACTGCCTTGCTTTGATCAGTAATGTTTCTAATGTGTCTGTCCTTCCAGGGGCTCCCATACAGACACCTGATCACCCACCACCAGGAGCCGATGAACCGTTATCTTATCAGCGCCTATGACGACCATTATAACCGGCATAACTACAACCCTAGCCTGCCCCCACTCCGCACCTGGAATGGTCATAAGTTGCTGTGGCTGCCAGAGAAGACAGACTTCCCCCTTCTTGGTATTTCTTTAATCAGGATTTTCTGCTGTGTTGGGCTGTCCCAGAATTGCTTAGGGCTAGAGGGTTGGAGGTGGACCCACTTGGGCCAGCTCCTACAGAAGGATCTCACATAGGTGGCCAGAAGAGCACTGGAATGAAATTCTAAGAAAATGAATTCTATTTCTCCCGCAGGGCTGCCACCTGCCCTCTTCCCACGCCACCAGGGATAATCGTGGCTGCATAATGACTACTCCACCTGAGGACAGGTGGTAGAGGGCCATGTCATCACACACTGCAGGGCCAGTAGTCATTTATTCAATAAATGTGTGTTGTTGTTGTGTGCCATTGAGTGAATCCTGCACAGGTTTCAGCAGAACTTCCAGGCTAAGACAGATTAAGAAGAAAGGCCTGGAAATCTACTTCTGAAAACCAGCCAGTGAAACTCCTATGGATCACAACAGGCTGAGCTTCAGCCAATCACAGTAACCCCATTTGACAGAGTAGAACAGCTCCTTTGGGTTTCCCAGGTAAAACTGCCAAGTTTTTCTTCCATGGAGCGGCCAGGTGGGTTTGAACCAATCTTTTGGTTAATGTTTAACCACTAAGAAACTACATATATAAGGACTGAATGATTCCTTGGTGGTGCAGTGCCTAAAACATTTGCCTGCCAACCAGGGGTTAGCATGTCAAACTCACCAGGCACTCTGTGAAAAGAAGACGAGGCAATCTACTTCTGTAAAGATTTACTGTTTCAGAAACCCAATGGGGGTCACTATGAGTTGGAATCGACTCAATGGCAATGTGTTTGCTTTCTTGGTTTGAATGATTCCTATGTGTCATACAGTGGCGTAGGACCCAGAGACATAGCAGTGAGAAACATCAAGAAATCACTGCCCTTGGGGAGTTGGTATTCTAGTGGGGAAGACAGGTAAGATACCACTAATGTATAAGGTAATTTAAGATCCAATAAATAAGATTATTTGGGATAGGGATATGTTCTATGAACAGAAGAAAACAGGGTAGTGGATAGGAAGTGAGGCAGGGCCTTTGTGAGTCTCCTTCAGTGGGGATGTTGAGAGAAGGCCTTAGTTAGGCTGAGACCTGGCTGATGAGAAAGAGGGAGCCATGCAAAGATTAGCAGGGAGAGTATTCCAGGGGAGGGAAGACCAAGTGCAAAAGTAGGCCTGGGCATATGAGTTGAACATTTACCTGAGGTAGATACACTCTTTGGAGAGAACAATCATGTGAGAAAGAAGGGCTGCTTATGCACAGGGAGACAGCTCAGGGAGCAGGAGTGCATGGAGGGATGGACACAGGGAAGAGGTAACTATAGGGAGGAAGTAGGAGGGGAGCTGTTGCATTGTGGTAAGTTGTGGTCAATGTCATGAGACAAAGTGTATGTGAACTGCTGTATGGAAAGTCAATTTGCTCTGTAAATTTTCACCCAAATCACAATTAAAAAAAAAAAAAAAGCAGGCCTGCGGAGAACCATGCAGAGGCTTATAGGCAATAATAAGGGGTATGGATTGTGTCATGTACACAATCATGCAAAGCTTTGTAGGGATTTACGTGGAAGAGTTCCTTGACTGGATTTACATTTCAAGCTCCACCCACCCTTCCAGAGACACAGAGCAAAGCCATCTCTTCCCAGTCCTTTGATGCAAAGGGTTATGGGTCAGAAAGTGAGCTGCTCTGTCCTACTCTGCATTACACTTGCATGGGCTTCTCCTTAACACCATGGCCACAAGCCAATACTGCTCACATCCCTAGTGGGGTGGGACAGTGCCATAAGAGCCAACCTCAAGCCAGGCTACCAGATGGACTTTTCTGAGGGCTCTGTAGCAGTGACCTGGTCCTTCCCAAGTGTCCTTGGAGCAGGGTCCACCCTGAGGACCTCAGGGGCTGGCTGTGCCAAGACCCTCCAGAAAGCCCATCTCCTTTCTGAGGCAGAGCCACCTGGGTCCCTGATACAGCAGCACTGAAAAAAACACCAGAGCCCTTGGCCCATCCATTCTACTTGCCTGTCAGAGCAGGACCCCTTCACTCAGCTCTGACTTCTCTTGCAGCTCCTCCTACAAACTATGGACTCTATGAGCAGCTGAAGCAGAGGTGGCATGAACCTGAGGCCCACTTCAGGGAGACGACCTACACTTCTTCTTACCCCAGACCACCTGTGACCACCATGTCCTGGCGGGAGCATGCAATCCCGGTCCCTCCCCCTCGCCTGCACCCTCTCCCAGGCTTCTGAGAGCTGCCAGCCCCACTGGCAGCTCAGGCCACACCAACTGGAGACCTACAGATCATGGGACTCACCAGACTGCAAGTGACTGCAGATATAACAGGAGCATGAAATCCATCCCATCAGAATGGCCTTTAGAATCTTGGTGACTCTCTTCCTCTTCCCCTAAACTCATAGGCTCCTTTCTTTTACATCCCACAATTAAATCTCTTTGACACCATTGGAATGTTGTATATGTGCAGAAGTTAGAGTTGGAATGCCAGAAAAAAACTGCAAGCACCCTTAAGTTCCATCTCTCATTTCATAGTAAGGGACACTGAGGCTCAGAGAGGTAACATGACTCCCTCATAGTCTCACAAATTGAAATGTCCTCTCCACCTGTGCCTGGTCCAGTGGGAGAACTTTCTCTGACTGCTGAGATCCATCTCAAAAACACAGCGCTGCAGTCACGATGGTTGTAACAAGGACAATGCTACAGGTGCTGGCAATGGAGGAGCATCTCACCGTTTTCATGGAGAAGAAGGGAAGGAACACCATTTCTGTCTCCACCTCTGAGCTCAGGAATCTTCTTATGAGTTCAGGTGGGGGAGCCTTTTGGTCAGTAGTTGGGAATGAAGACAGAAGAACCTGTCCAGGACAGGAGTCTCATGTTCTACCACCAGACTGGGACGGAGGCCAACCTCAGGCTAAGAAGAACATGTCCCTACAACTGATTTTTCTCTGACTGGCCTATCTCTGCCATATGCCTCCACTCCAATAGTCTGTATTCCCTACTTTAGTCACAGCACCTGGTATATAAACCATCTGCCTATCAAGCTGATTCCAATTCATGGCAACCCATGAACTCATGTGTGTCAGAGTAGAACTGCTCCACAGGATTTTTGGTGGGTGATGTTTTCAGAAGATCCCCAGGCTTTTCTTCTGAGGAGCCTCTGGGTGGACTCAAATCTCCAACCTTTAGCAGCTGAGCATGTTAACCATTCACACCACCCAGGGACTCCCTAGTGTCCCCAAGCAGAGACTCAAACCAAAACCAAACTCACTGCTGTCAAGTCAAAGCCGGCTCATAGCAACCCCTCTTTGGGTTTCTGAGGCAGTATCTCTATGGAGGTAGATTGCCCAGTCTTCTTTCCAAGGAGTGGCTGGTGGGTTTGAACAGCCAGCCTTCTGGTTAGCAGTCAAATGCCTTAGGCACTATGCCACCAGAGCTCCCAAGTAGGGACTAGTAGGAGTATTTCTGTTTTAAAGAGGAGGAAATGGGCAAAAAGAGTTTAATCAACCGGTCTGAGGTCTCATAACTACTAAGGCCTGGGATTTGAACCCAGGCAGGCTGGCCACAGAGTGTGCACACTTATCCACTGTGTAAAACTGCTTCTTAAAAGATGTAGCTGCAGAAACACTCAGCACTAGCTGGGTACATCTAGGGCAGCTGTTTGCTGGATGCCACATGTACATGCCTGGCAATGACTTTATACCACAAACATATTACTCAAAGCTTGAGAAAAAACCCTGAATTTGTCCCATCCTTTTCACAAGACACTTGCTTGCCCCAGACCTCCCACTCCAGTGTGATCTCAGCACTTACTCTGGTCCCTTTGATTATTTTTTCTAAGTGTCTGTTTAATGGTAAGCTCTTCCCTACTCAACTGAAATGGCCATGGAGTCAGGGCCTGGCATGTACCAGGTGCTCCACATTTATCGAATGAATGAATGAATGAATGAATGGAGGAGCAACAAGGAGTGTGGGGGTGGGATGTGGGCAAAGAAGAGCCCCAGGTGGCAGCTGCGGGGTAGAACAGAGCTGGCCGTCCTCATAACTTCTCCATCCTTCTGCTCATCAAACAAACACCCATTGAGCCCTACATTTGATCCAGAGTCTGACCTCACAGAGCCTTTTGTCCAGCAGGGAGGAGAGAGACAGTAAACAAGGACAGAGAAAAGTTAGGGACAGACTGACAGAACTTAACACTTTGGGGGGGTTAGTGGGTCATGAGGGAGATCCTTGGAGTGTGCTAAATATAGGGGGTGCCGTGACCTGGCCTAGTCAGGGGAGGGTGAGGGAAGGCTTTCCTAAGAAAGGGACACTTAGGTGGAGGCCAGAACGTGAGCAGGATTACCCAGGTGAGGGAACAGATGGGAAGGGCCACAGGAACAACGTGCAAAGGCTCTGAATTTGGAACGAGCTACACAGGCTTGTTGACAGGGCTCAGAAAACTAGTGTTTGAGTTTCTTGTTTCTGCTGCAATAAATTACCACACAGTCAGTAACTTGAAGCAACAAAATTTATTCTCTGATAGTCTGGGAGGTCAGAAGTCTGAAATGGGTCTTCTGGGCTGCTTTCCTTCTGGAGGCTCTAGGAGAAAATCCATTTCCTTGCATTTTCCACCTTCTAAAGGACACCTACATTCCTTGGCTCGTGGACCTTCCTCCATCTTCAGAACCAGCAGTACAGCATCTTCACTCCTCTCTGCTTCCCTCTTATAAGGAACCTTGTAATGGCATTTGACCTATCCCTTTAATCCAGAATAATCTCCCCATTGCAAGATCCTTATCTTCATCACACCTACAAAGTTCCTTTTGAATATAAGGTAACATATTCACAGGTTCCAAGGATTAGCACAGGGATATCTTTTTTGGAGGAGGCCTTATTCAGCTAGAGCTGAGATGCAAGGTGAGAATTCTCTGCACTCAACTCGCTGTCAGTCACTCAACACACACACACACACACACACACACACACACACACACACGGTATGTTTTGTCCTATCCAGGAAGCTGAGATGGTTGAGGAGCAGAGTGGGGGCGATTAATGAGTGAAGCCCAGACCTATGGCCGCCATCACCTGGACAGCTCTCCTTGGCCTTCCACACACACATTAAAAGTGACTGTTAACACTAGAGCAACCAGAAGTTCTTGAAACTAGTTGCCATCAACCCTGATCCACAGTAACTCCATGTGTGTCAGGGTAAAACTCTGTCCCATAAGGTTTTTAATGGCTGAATTTTTAGAAGTAGATAGCCAGATATTTCTTCTGAGATACCTCTGGTGGACTTGAGCCACCAAGTTTTTAGTTAGCATACAGTGCATTAACTGCACTACCCATGATCTTATATGAACAGCATTATATTGCGTGTGCAATTCTTAATGTTTTTTTTTTCAGTTAACAATATTGGCATCTCAAATCTAATGTGTCCAAAAATCCTGGTAGCATAGTGGCTAAAGCACTTGACTGCTAACCAGAAGGCTGGCGGTTCAAACCCACCAGCCACTCCTCGGAAGGAAGGTTGGGCAAT